AAAGCCGAGCCCCAGCTATAAGCAGTGCTATTTCAGGTGATTTTAACAGGAGGAAGCCCAGAGTGGGAGAAGAAATCAGGAAATGAAAACTTTAGGTTAAAATGTCAAAAATAATGTCAAAGTCTGGAGAGTGTTAATTGATACCTTGGTAATGGATACCAATCAAATTACCACCTCCCACTTCAGAAGTAAGAGCAGAAAGCATTAATAGCAAATCTTGATTTTTGTTGTTGTTCTTGTTACAGGCCAAGTAGAATACAGTCACAGAAAAGGAGAATCTGGTGGGAACTTTGACTTTAAGTTTGATGTGGTTGATGGAGAAGGCAACAAATTGATCAGCCAGTCATTTCCCATCATTGTTTTGGGTAAGGGGGCATTGGGTCTCTAAAAATACATCAGTGGTTCTGAGGTTAAAGAATCTATACTGTGATTACTTTGAGGCTGAGCCTTTCCTTTAACCAACCAGTAAGGAAATCTGAGATCATGTCCCCACTGCTGTCTGAAGCTCTGGCTCCTTGGGACTCTCTCTCTACCTATATCTCTATCTCTATCTCTATCTCTATCTCTATCTCTATCTCTATCTCTATCTCTATCTCTATCTCTATCTCTCTCTGAGAGCTATTCTGATCTTACCCCTGGGCACCAGATCCAGAATTGAAGAAAGGAGGCTAAAAATATCCCATTTCAAATCACTATTTCTAATATTTTCAGAAGACAAATCCCCACCGGTCATCACCACCAATAAAGGAATGGTCTTAGATGAAAACTCAGTGAAGAAAATCACCACCCTGCAGCTCTCTGCCACTGACCAGGAGAGCGAGCCGGCAGCACTAACCTACAGAATCACCAGACAGCCCCAGCTGGGCCACCTGGAGCATGCAGGGTCACCAGGTAAGCCTGTCGATGCTTCATCAAGCCAAAGTTGGCATTTAGTCCGTGTTGGGGTGGACTAAAGAATGTATTCACTGCCTCAAAATTCTGCAGTGACTTTTGATTGCCTATTTAATTAAATAGGAATTATCTCAGATTTGAAGACCCTCCATAAAATGTCAGTTTACCCATGACATACCCCTAGAATACATATCCCTAGAATCTATGAGTATTTATTTTCTGCATCACTAATCTTGACCATGAGATACCGCCTTGCATTATATTTAGCAAACAGTAGGTGCTCACTGAAAGTTGAATAAAAATTTGCAATCTTATAAAGCAAACTTGTCTTTATAACTAGATTGTCAATTTCTTAGGGCAAACACTGCACCCTGTTCTTCTTTTAAAGTCTTTGAGCACCTGGTGTGGATGCATTGTGCTTAGAATTTTAATTCAGCAAAGAGCAAGTGAGCATGTGTATTGAGCAAGATTCTAGTTTAGCTGCTTCTGGTAAAGAAAAAAAAAGGTAAATAAAATACAATTCTCTCCTTCCAGAGTTTTCTACTGGGTGAGATAAGGAACTTCTTCTCTGCAGATAACCATAACTCAGGGAAGACTATGGCAGGTGTTTAAAGAACTGCATAAATCTGTTGTCATAAGAGTTCAAAAGTGGGAGAGGCTACATGGGGTGATAAGGTGCCTGGCGGTGGCATTTGGAAGACAGAGTTTGGGCAGACAGAAATTGTGCTATTTCCAGAGATGGGGACAGCATGTGGACACATTAAAAAAAAATGACTGGGCTAGTTTAGCTAAAGCATATGCTCTGAAAATAGATGGTGCTCATGGGTAAACTGACATTTTATGGAGGGTTTTCAAATCTGAGATAATTCCTATTTAATTAAATAGGCAATAGGAAGTCACTGCAGAATTTTGAGGCAGGAAAGGAAGTGAAATTTATCTGGAGTCCAACAGGATGAATGAAACAAGGGAAAAGGAGGCAATGGCTGTGGGTAGGAGATTCACATTTGACCAGGTGGGAGCTAGTGAAGCTTCACCCAGGGAACAGTAGTAGGACCAGGTAAGAGGAGAATAATGTATGAGGTAGTACCTGGTACCTACTAAGTATTCACTGAGCCACAGCTGGTGAAGGAAGGAGAGAAGGAAGGAAGGGATTTCAGGGAGAGAACCGATGGAACATGCCAGTGGAAGGAAGGTGAAGGACAAGAGACTTGCCGAATAAACATTCTAAAGGTTGAATTGTCTTTATTTTGTACGTCATACAGGCTAGAAGCAGCTGGCAGGATATTTAGATCCTCATTGCTTTTCTTTGTATTTTAGGCTGCAGAGTTTTCACTCAACCAGGGAAATAGCAAAACAGGGGAATTACTTGCCCTGATGGTGCTGACCATCTAATGCAGGGAACCAGAGAGTAAGCAGTCAAGCAAGGGAGTACATCATATATCACTGGTGATGCGTGCCGGGGGAAAAACAAGGGCATCACCAGGATGCACAGGGAGCAAGGGGTGAGAGAGGGACTTCTAATAAGAGGATGGTATTTGAACAGAAAGTGAGGGTGCCAGCCAAGCTGCAGATAAGGAAAGAGCATCCCAGGCAGAGGCATCAGCGAGTGTGAACAGAAACACAGGATCAGCTTGGCACACCAGGTTCCAGACGCAGCAAGGAGACCAGTGTGCCTGTGGCAGTGAGTGAGAGCGAGGGTGGTGGGAGATGAGTTCCCAGAGCTGGAGGCTGATGCGGCAGACCATGTCGGGGTCCACAGTGATGCTAGAGGAAGGAGTGTCATGTGTGTCTGGTCGGAGGGCTTGGGGAGGGGTGGACAGACTGGCCAAAACCCTAATGCAAATTGAAGCAGGTGGCCTACCCTTTGTGGCCTAATTCCCCAGGGAGTATGCAGATCAGCACTTCTAAGACCTTGGCTGCATGAGATATTGGATAACTAATTCATGAGCTAATTGCTTCTGCCAGAACCCTGTCAGGTTGCTGATTGTTTCTCTCCAAAGATGAAAGGGCAGGCTCTTGGCTGTTGTGATGGGCAACTGCATGCTCACTATGCAGGGTTTTGAAAGGCTCTGAGCTTCCTGCAAGACACTGTCAGTGCCCAGGGCTGGTAGTCACAGCCTCGCTCTTCTCTGACCCCAGGCTCTGCTGAGTCCTGTGTGAGGCTGCTCCAGATTCGCCTTTTTGGTGTTTACAGTATCACCGTCACTGAGCTTGAATTCTATCTGCAAAGACCATGCCAGTATGGCTCAGGGAGCGACCCGTAGGTGAACACATTTCTCCCTCCTCTCGGGAAAGTGCCTTCTCAAAATAGGGGGATGTCGTGGTCTACCTGGGACTCTTCCTTCACCTGCCCTTTTCCTCCAGGTTCGATTTCCTAATCCAGGTAGTCTCCCAAGCCAACCAGTTTTTCTTAATTCACCTGTTTCTGATAATTCTTAAGTAAACCAGATACTGGATGCAATCCCCTCCTTGCTATTCTTGGGGGCTCACACCATTGCTAATAGGGCAGGACTTCCCTGCCCCTCCCTCATTACAAATTCCATTTCATCAGCATCCTCTTCTTCCCTGTCTCCCCTAAATGAGAATATTTTCATGCATTTGGTTCTTTCTAAATGTCAAAGGTCTCCCTTCAGAGGAAATCTGTGTTGCTGACTTACCATCCTCTCTTAAGGCAGCTGACTACAGCTTACAGAGCAGCAGGACCTGCCCTGACCAGGTGACTTAGTCGGTTGGAGCATCACCTCGTACACCAGAAGTTGTGGGTTCAATTCCCGGTCAAGGCACATACCTAGATTGTGGGTCCGATCCCCAGTCAGGGCATGTACAGGAGGCAACTAATCGATGTCTCTCTGTCTTTATCTTTCTCTCTCCCTTTCTCCTCCCCCACCACCCACCTCCTTCTTTAAAATCAGTAAACATGTCCTTGGGTGAGGATTTAAAAATTCTTTTTTTTAAAAGAGTAGCAGCACCTCACCCCATTTGTCTCAGATGGTGAGCATGTCCCTGCCAGGAGTTGGGGTTAGGCTGGACCTGGTCTTTCTGAGAGGAGCAGAGCATCTTCTAGGCCAGGGTCTGTAGTGCAGGCACTGAGCTATCTTGGGACCCATGCCTCGTGCAGTGATCACTTGCCACTGGTGTTGCAGACATCCTCCTGATGGCTCACTGTGAAGTGGACTGATTCTCATGCCGCCTTTCATGGCCCGCCCATGGTGAGCGATTGTTCTCTGTAGATAGACAGGAAAGCTGTGCAGAGCCTCTTTCCTTCCCCTGAGGCAATGTCACGAGCCATCTGCCTCTGCCAACTGTGGAAGACAGACACCAGAACCAGACTCCGAGGATCTGGGAGTCTAGTCCCACAAGTGCTCTGTCAAGGTTGAGGTGGCCACAACCTCACATCAGGGAGACAAAAGATTCTCTTTTTTCTGGTAAATCAGAGAAAGGAATTAAATTATTAGGGCAGAAGCTAGACTGCTAGAATAAAGAGACTTCAAAATACAGTGCCTGAAGCAAGAAGTTTTCTTTTTCAGAAAAATCGAGAGGCAGATGGCCCAGGTGGCTCAGTGATCCCCAACATGAGGCTCCCATTTCTACTCTAACAACTACTGCAGTTGTGTCCTCTCCCAACCAGCAGTAAGGGGGGAAGGCCAGGGAACCCACCTCCGTCTCCTTCCATGGGTATTACTAGAAGAAACCATCACTTTTGGTCATAGCCTAGTGGCAAGAACAGCCACACCCAGCTGTGAGGTGGCAGGGAGATGCAGACCCTACCTGGGGATTCAGTTGCTTAGCTAACAGCAGTTATATTTTTAAATTAGGGGAGGAGTCATATTGGAATCCAGCAATTACCAGCACAGCACTGGTTCCCACCTTTATGTTTCAGAAGTTGTCAGCATGCAAATGAATAGGTGCAGGTGTGTGTTAGTAGCTGTGATAGCAACAGACAGAAGACAGTAGGAGCCAAAGGACAGCCAGTTCTACTGAGAAAGGGGTGAAGTGAGTCAGGAAAAACTTCCCAGAAGTGATCTTAAGCCAAGGTATGCTTTGGTTTTCTCTTAATGTCAGCCTTTCTCAGTATTATGACTCCCAACCAAAATTTTCTTAGTTTGGGTTCTCCGTGAAGGCAGGGTGTATGAGCCTGCTAGGGCTGCCTGCCATACTCAGTACCACAGACTATGAAGCTTAAATAGAATTTATTGTCTCACAGATCTGGGGGCTGGAAATCCCAGATTACGGTGTCAGTAGCGTTGGTTCCTTCTGAGAGAAGGGTCTTTTTCTGGCCTCTCAATGTCATCTTCATGTTCACATGGTGTTCTCCCTATCTATACTAATAAAAGGGTAATATGCTAATTAGACTGGACATCTTCTGGACGACCTTCTGGACATTCTTCCAGACAAAGCCATGGTGGCAGGGCCAAGGCAGAGGCGGTTAGGGGTGATCAGGCCTGCAGGGGAGAGCAGTTAGGGGGATTAGGCTGGCAGGGGAGAGCAGTTAGGGGGATCAGGCCAGCAGGCAGGTGAGCGGTTAGGAGCCAGCCAGTTTAGGCCTGATCCCCTGGTGTAGCCAGTAGGTTGGTGACTGAAAACACCTTCCATGGGACTAAACCAGCAGTTGGACATCCCCAAGGGGTCTCAGATTAGAGATGGTGCAGGCTGGGCTGAGGGACGCCCCCCCCCATGCAAAAATTTCGTGCACCAGGCCTCTAATCCTATATAATAAAAGCCCAGTGACTGAAACGGCAGAACAACCAGAGACCAAAATGATTGGGGGTGTGGCAGGCCTGCAAACAGCCCGTGGCCCCTCACCCAGGGCGGCCTGCCCCCAGCAGGGACCCCCACCCCAATCCAGGACCCCAACCATGCACCAGGCCTCTATCCTATATAATAAAAGGGAAATATGCACATTGACCCTAACAGCAGAACGACTGGGAATGCCTGGTCACTATGACACACACTGACCACCAGGGGGCACACGCTCAATGCAGGAGCTGCCCTCTGATGGTCAGTGCGCTCCCACATGGGGGAGCTCTGCTCAGCCACAAGTCAGGCTGATGGCTGCCAGTACAGCAGTGGTGGTGGGAGCCTCTCCTGCCTCCTCAGCAGCACTAAGGATGTCTGACTGCAGCTTAGGTCTGCTCCTCGCTGGCAAGTGGACATCCCCCTAGGGCTGCCGAGCTGCCAGAGGGATGCCTGATTGCCAGCTTAGGCAAAATCCCCCAGGGAGCAGGCCTAAGCCAGCCGGTGGTCATCCCCCAAGGGGTCCCAGACTGCGAGAGGGCACAGGCCGGGCTGAGGGGCTGAGGGGCGCCCCCCCCCCCCCCCGCCGAGTGCACAAATTTTTGCGCACTGGGCCTCTAGTCCTATATAATAAAAGGGTAATATGCACATTGACCCTAACAGCGGAACAACCAGAACGCTGCTGGACCAGTCACTGAGGCACACTTACTACCTCTCGGTCCTTTTCCTTGGCCAGCAGGCTCTGATTGCCTTATGCTACCCAGGGATGGGTAACAGGGGATGTGGGGGGCACCAGGCCAAGGCCCCCGCCCCACCGGTCACCCCACACACAGAGGGCAACCAGCAGCGGGGATGGGGCTGGCAAGCAGTCCCGTCCCCCAGCCATCAGGCACCGATCACCCATTGGCAAAGGGTAGACCAGGGTGGTTGGCAGCAGGGGGCGGGACTGGCTGCAGGCAGCCAGGGAAGATGGCCCTGATCACAGGCCAGGCCTAGGGACCGTACCCATGCACGAATTTCGTGCACCAGGCCTCTAGTATGTGTATATCCAAAGTTTCCCCTTTTATATGGACAATGGTCATATTGGATTACGTCCCACCCTAGTGACCTCAATACTTCTGTAATGATCCTGTTTCCAAGTAATGTCACACCTGAGGCACTGAGGGTTAGGACTTCAACATATGAGTTGACAGCAGGAGGTGGGGATGGGCAGCACAATTTAGCCCATAACTGGAGGCTTTGAAGAAAAGAAAAGCTGAGAGTCTCCCATGGCATGAGCCTGCAATGGTTCAGCACTGGTCCGACATAGCACTGTTCCCATGCACAGGACCATCCTGGCTGTGCTGAAAGCAGGAGGCCGAGGCAATTGCCTAACCTCCACTTAAGAAGGCAGTTTCTTCAGAGATGCTTTTTTCCCACACCACTCTAATGTGCTGGCCTTTCGAGGGAATTGGAAAAGCTGACAGGGTTAATGTGGGTCCCCGTAACACTGCCAGAGACATAGTGTAGCCAGTAGGTTGGTGACTGCAAATACCTTCCATGGGATTAAAAGCCTGCAACCTTTCAAAAGGTAAGTACCTGCTGTGACAGCCAACAGGGAGAACATGTTACTGGAAACACCATCTTGGTGGTGAGCAAGTAGCGGAAGTTTTCCAATGCCCAATTAGCAAAGGCTAAAATTGGGGAGTGGGGGAGGTACATAGAGATTGAAAATTCTGTGCTCAATGGGTAAGGCCTCAGATATTGAGTATAGTGGGTGAACTAAATTCATTCACCACAAATGTTTTGCGTACCTACTGTTTGCAAGGCACTATTCTAGGTGCACATTGGTGAGGAAACCACCAAGATGCTTGTCCCCTTGAAGCTTGCATTCTAGGTGCAGCTTATTACCCTCTGGCACTTAATCATTGGTATCATTTAAATAATAATATTAAGTACCCCATCAAAATCAATATTTCAGATAAAAAAAGGTTATGGCCAATCAAGTATAAGAAACAGTTCAATTCAGAAATATTACAATGGTGATATTTTAGTGGTAGATATATGAGTGATTCTTGTGAGTCCATACTATGAGTGATTTTTGTGATCCTTTACTACTTTTCTGTGCTTTTTACATTTTCTTTAATAGCCATGTATTACTTTTATATTTAAAACAATTCAAGGATAAGGGTGATATCCAAGAGGCTCCTTTTCTAGTCTGAAAAGTCTAGATGAGTTTTATAAAAATGTACTCCTAGCAGGCATAAACTTTGGAGTTAGACAACCCTGATCTCCAGTTCCAGCTCTGTCCCCCTATTAGATGTGTGACTGGGATAGGCCACATTGCTACTCTAATTGGATCACAGTGTCTGATCTATCAAAACGAGGTAACATGTCAACCTTGACATCCTAGAATTGTTAAAAGATAAAACCTAAAATATATAAGCAAGCCTGTATTCTGTACAGTAGGTGTTCAGCGTTTTCTAGATAGAAGTGAGAAAGGCCCACTAAGATGAAGCCCAGAGCCCTCCTGCATTGCTGTGGGAATGGCAAGTGGTACTGCCTTCTTTGGAAAATAGTTTCTCAGTTTTCTAAAAAGTTAAGCATGCACCCAAGACACATTCCAGCCATTTTACTCTTAGAGATTTGTCCAGAAACAATGAAAACTTAGGTCGGTACAAAGACTTGTACACAAATGACCGTAGCAGCTTTATCTATAATAGCCACAAGCTGGAACTAACCTAAATGTTCATCAACATGTGAATGCGTAAACAAACGATGGCATATCCACACAATGGAATAGTACCTAGCCATAAAAAGGATGAACTGTTAACACATGGTACAATATGGATGAATTGAAAAATGATTATACCAAATGAAAGAAACTATGCATAAAATAGTACATACTGTATGAATCTATTTATTTTAAAAAATCAGAAAACAATGCCAACTCATCTAGAGTGACAGGAGGCAATTTATTGATTGCTTTGGGATAGGGTAGGGGATGGGAAGAATGGAAGAATTATTAAGTGTCAGCTGGAAACTTTAGGGGTGATGGATATGTTCACTATTTTGATTGAGGTGGTGGTTTTATGGATGTGCCAGAGCTTATCAAATTGTACATTTTAAATGTGTGCTATTTATTATATGTCCATTTCCTCTCAAAAATGTTTTAAAAATCAATCCCAGTGCTTCCTTCCCAAGAGGAAGGAAAATTCTATCACCTTCCTCAGTCAGTCCTAGGTTCTCATAAAGAGAAGAGTGAATTAGGTGACCAGTGGATTGTGAGAATCCAGACAAGCATTTCCCTATGAGCTATGGGAGGGAATCACCGCAGGGGAAGAGATTTAAATTTCTCAGCGCAGCCAGTCTGAAGTTATTAAATTTTTAAAGAATGGTATGGATTTCTGTCCAGACTACAAGACAAAGCTATAAGACAGGGGGCTACATTTTTTTTGCCTGTCAAGAGCTCATGTAGCAAGCACAGAAATATAAAACGCCTCATCAAAAAATTAATGCCCCAGTATCAGGAGGCTATTGTATCTGGGCAACAAATTTCAGATGATAAAGAGAGATGCAAATGTAAACCATGCAGGTTATTAATTTTTTAGGATGGCAGTGATACTTGTGTCACAGTCAAAGTACAATTTCTGAGTGTGTGTGTGAGTGTTTGTGTTTGTTTTTTTACAGGAAAGCTACAGTGGTTTTGCCAGGATTTACAATGACAAATAATAAATCCTAGGCAGCAGCAAATGATTTGCAGGACCAAACAGAAGGATTAGATTAAATGGATTAATACCCCAACACTCACATCAGGCAGAGGGAATTGGTGCTGAGGGTCTAAAAGATATGATTTTGTTTCAGTCTTGGCTGGGACCAGGAAGTAAGTCCCAGAGCCCTAACATGGAAGCAAGAATTCTACGCTAATTGTTGTTAGACATTTAAAAACATAGAGATATTATTCACTTGTGGGATACTTTGGCATTAATTATGCAAAATCACTATAGATTTTTGTACTTTCAAAATGACTGAAAAAATTAATATGTTTTCTATCATGTTATTAAAGGATAATGGTTTTCTAGGTCGTTTTAGAGTAGATATAGAATGATTGCCCAAAGCCCAGAGTCATGCAGTAAGTCTACTGTCAGCCCGGCCGACATGGTATATGAGAAGCTAGAATCACAGACCTGGAAAGGGACCTTGAAGAATTTCCAATGAGACTGTGGAGGCTGGGGAAGCCCCACCAATCACAGAAACAAGGCTATGGTTTAGCCAAGCCCTATTAGTCCAGTGTTCCCATTGCACAATATTAAAAATTAGGATAGGTTTTTCAGAAAGGGCTATGAGACTATGGGGGAATATAAAACTTAAGAGAGAAGAATTTAGAGAATAAGGCACTGTCTCTGCCTTTCACAGATTTGACCTGCATGCATAAGCCCCAAGAGAAAGGAGAGTAACATTTATTGAGCACCTGCTGTTGACTTGGCACATAGTAGAAGCCTGGATAATTACGTTAACATGTGCTCCCACAGAACATATGCTGTTGTAGAAAAAAAAGTAGGCAAACAACTCTAACACCAGGTCTCAGGGAGAAGTACATAAATGCTAGGAGACAAATGCCAAGGACTCTATCTAGTGAGCATATGACATTTCCCCAGCCTCAGAAGTATGGCGGGCGTTTTTACATCCTTTCTCTGTTTCTCTTCTCCCCTTTTGCCAGGTATCCTGATCACTTCTTTTACTCAGGCTGACCTGGCTTCACGAAACGTTCAATATGTCCACTCCAGTGAGTCCGAGAACCATTCAGATGCCTTCAGCTTTACGCTCTCGGATGGAGTCCATGAGGTAGGTGAGGAACTGGAGTCCCTTAGCATCTGCAGGGCAGCTGGTGCTGTCTGAGCTTCACTTCCCTCTGCTCTCAGCCAAGATCAGGCAGCATCTGACAGCCCCCGGGGGTCTTGTCCAAGAGAATTCATTTTTGGGTTCCTGGTCAGTCCATCATGTGAGGGATGGTGTAAAGGAGAAAGTAGAGGGCACTTACCTTCTACTTGGGTGGGGCTGGGGCCCTGTGTCTCTCTGGCCTTCACATGTCTGCCATTCTAGGTGACCCAGATGTTCCACATTACCATTCGCCCTGTGGATGACTCGCTGCCCGTTGTACAGAATGCGGGGATGCGGGTGCAGGAGGGCGTGAGGAAGACCATCACAGAATTTGAGCTCAAGGCCGTGGATGCAGATACAGAGGTAAGAACGTGCCCCTGGGTTCTCTGGCTGAATGAGAAGGTGATCTGGTGAGTCCAGTGGTTGCTTTGTGACTGAGCATCCCAAGGTAAGGGCAGGGGGGTGAGGTTAGAACAAGTATCCTTGAAGGACTAAAAACCTGAAGAGAACACAGCCCTCTGAAAAAGAGGAAGTGAATACATTTGCATCAAACTGCTTTTAAACCCTTTCTGAAAACCTAAGTATGTTCACCCTCTCCCCTGATTACATGCAACAATCTTTTTAACATGCTGAATTTTTATCATGATTTATAGAAAATTATTCCTTATTAGCATGAACAAGGATTTATGGCACCTATATATCTTTCCCTCTTTTCTTTTTAATTTTCTTTATTGTTGAAAGTATTATAGATGTCCCATTTTTCCCCCATTGATCCCCTCCACCCTGCTCCTGCCCCCTCCCAGGCCTTCACTGCACTATTGTCTATGTCCATGGGTTATGCATATCCTATATAATAAAAAGCTACTCTGCAAATTGACCAAACAGGGGAACAGCTGGTCGCTATGAGTGCACTGACCACCAGGGGGCAGACACACAACACGAGCTGTCCCCTGGTGGTTGGTGTGCTCCCACAGGGGGAGCACTGCTCAGCCAGAAGCCCTGAGCCGGGCTCACGGCTGGCGAGTGCAGTGGAAGTGGCGGGAGCCTCTCCTGCCTCTGTGGCAGTGCTAAGGATGTCCAACTGTCAGCTTAGGCCCGATCCCTGTGGGAGCTAAATTGGGTATAAGCGGTCAGTCAGACATCCCCAAGGGGTCCCAGACTGTGTTGAGGGAACCCCCTGAGTGCACGAATTTCATGCACCGAGTCTCTAGTATGCATATAAATTCTTTGGTTAATCTCTTCCCACCCCTCCTCCGCCAACCCCACTTCCCTCTGAGAATCATGTCTGTTGCATTGATCACATGATTTCACTTATATGTAGAATCTAATGAACTAAAGAAACTGACAAAATAGATCTTTCCCTTTTTTTAATTTTCTTCATTCAGACTTCTCTGGATGACAACTAATTATTACAATTTAGGCATCCTCAGAGAACTAGGCTTTATACAGTAAAACAGAGCCTGTAGACAGAACTCTCATTCTCATGATGCTTTCAGATAAAAGCATGTAACCTTCTGGCACAATTTAGCTCCCATAAGAGTACCACAGCAATTATTAATTAGTTCTATGTGCACTCTACCCTCTGCCAGCGCTCATTCATTCATCTGTTCAGATATGAAGCAGAAGAGCAAGCTATGCAGTCATCTGGGAGCCTCAGTCCCTGGGCAGAAGAACCAAAGTGCAAAGGCCCTGGGGTCAAGTGTGCTTAGAACTTTTGAGTTACAACAAGAGGCCAAGAGGTGGGAGCCTAAACAAGCAGGAGAGGGGAAGAG